AGGGCGAGATCCCACCAGCAAAGAGGGTTGGATTAAGCTCTTGAATCTGGACGTGTTTTAAGCAGAGGTGCAGAAAAAGCAGTTCAATCTCGATTTTCTGCACAGTTCCACAAACATGTCCAGATTCAGGCGTTTAATCCAATCCTCTTTTGCTAGTTGAACCCCGCCCCTAGTTACCTTCCCGTCTCTCTCTCTTTTTTTTTTTTTTTTTTTTTTCCGTCTCTTCAAGAACCCGTCTTACCACTTTTTTTTGTTTGAAAAAGAAAAACCGTCTTGCCCCCCGCCCTCTTCCCTATCTTCTTCTTCTTTTTTTTTTATATTTTTTATTTTTTGCTAATAGCCAAACGGAAAACGTAGACATAAAGATCGGGTCGATAAGCGGAGCACATGACTAAGGGTGAGGTCCCACTAGCACAGAGGATTGGATTACACGCCTAAATCTGGACGCTTTTGTGAAGAGGTGCTTCCATCGCTGTTGATCTGCATTTCTGCATCTCTCCGTAGAACACATCCAGATTCAGGCGCTTAATCCAATCCCCTTTGCAGGTGGGACCTGACTCCGAGGGCCTCGCCGCACCGCGCTACTCGCCGAAAATATGTTAGTACCGAGGAGTACATCATTCCGGTAAACTTGGGAAAATGCACTCGTCATGCCTCCTCACAGTTGGCGCGCAGTGCGACGCGGGCACTTGAGCAGGGAACAAACAAGGAGAACGTGGCAATTGACATAGCCAGGTGGTCACGTGGCAACTGACATGGCCACGTGGTCACGTGGCAACTGAAGCGGCGACGCGGGCACGCAGCCACGCTGCCACGTGGCATTCCATGAGGATAAGATAACGCACCTCATCATCCGGAACGGAGCCCCGTCTTGACATCGACCAGCACTCCACGTGCGACCAGTCAGTCGTCCCTTCCCCTAAGACCGGTCGTCTCTCTCCGTCTATCTATTACCAGTCGTCCGTGCTTGGACGACCGTCCCGACCACCGGTGTAGCCCAGAAACGAGAAGAAACGCATGATGCGATGATGCACGCAATTCCCCTTCGTGCGCTCCGGCCTCAGAAGGACGACCGGTAGCACGGGCCACGACGGACCAGTCGTCCGTCAGTCGACGACCAGTCGCTTCTGAGTCCGACCCAGGAACGAGTTCTGGCGCGCGACGCAAGAAATCCATCCACGAAAAAACAAAAATTCGCTCCGCAGTCAGCGGCCTATCTCAGTTGGTAGGGCACACACGTGGCATTCACGAGGTCTTGGGTTCAATTCCCACTGGGCTCATCTTCCTACCTGACCATACTTGGTGCCCGCCATTAGACAGAGACCGGTGGCCCCCCTGATTGGCATCAAACCACCAGTTCACCCACACCTATTTCAACGAACCAAAGAAAGCACTTTGCCGAGCCTGAAAGTGACAGGCACTGCTACTGTTCATAGGGGGAGGGGACCTGAGAGGAGGCACAGGACTGCCCACTCGGATGAACCCTCAGTCCTGACGCTACCGGCTGACTCCTGGCCTCAGTCCTGACACTACCGGCTGACCCCTGGCCTCAGTCCTGACGCTACCGGCTGACCCCTGGCCGGTATCGCACCTGCTGGTGAGTGCAGCTCCAGCATGTTCTCTCGTCGGAGGCTTGTCAAGCTGTACGGGGTTCCGTGGGGCACGGTCCCACTAGCAGTAGGATAAGATAAAAGGTCGCAGATAACCCCACCTGCGACCCATGTTGGACAGTTGTGTGAAGTATTTGTGCGCCCTTGGAGGAACGGTTGGCTTACATAGATGAAGAAAACACAGGTATTATCTATCCGTCTTTTTCATTTGGACCCTCCATGTGAGAGGAATTCCCCTTCTCTGATTGGCAGTTACACTTCTCCTTGACATTGTGAAGGTGCGACCCATGTGTGACCGTTGTTTGAAGTATTCGTGCCGTTAGATGAACGGTTGGCTTACATAGACGACGACTAAACAGTTATTCTCTATCCTTCTCTTTTATTTGGACCCTCTTACCCTCTATGCTCTCCGATTGGCAGTTACACTTCTCCTTCCAATTGTGCAAGGAGCAAGGGGTGACGGCCTTTCTACTGCACAAATTTCCAGGGTAGCAGGATGTAGAGTTTGGGTTTAAACCACCACCAGTACTTGGTAAAGTCGTGCCTGTTAACCAGCCACAATTTTAGGAAATGTACGGGCCACTATAGGAGTGCCCAAATTCATCCGACTAGAATCGTTTCTACTCTATTTCTTTTCCAAGGCCGATAGCTGGGCCAAGCAAGTACTGGTGGTTTAAAAGAACAGAAAATTAAAATTGAAAAATTGAAAAATCAGTCTGTTCAAGAAGTTGAATGGTCTTTGTACGCAAGACAGCAGGCTCTTCACATACCCAATTTTTATTTTTTTTTTCTCTCTTTACCCAAATTCTGTTTGCCAGCCACTTCACTTACCCAAACTGTGCCCACCAGCACTCACCAGACACGGGCATTCGTGGAAGGAGGAGGGATCCGGCGAATCTGGCTGTGTTCTCGTACATTATGCATGGGCGTCGACTTCCAACGAAGAGTGTGCCGCCTTTTTTGTTGTTTATTGGAATTTTTTTCTTCATAAAAGTCTGGTCGCACGGGTAGCCAAGTGTCTTTATCATGTGGCTAGCAAGAGCGTACCCCTGTAATAATACTAGTATAATGAGTATTAATGACAATAAAAAGGGCCTGAAAGGCTGTTCTGTCCAGATTCGACAGGTAATTGAATTGCTTGGGCTTAAAAGAATTAGCCTTTTTAAACCAAAAAAAAGGAAAGAAAAGAGATCCCTCCGCAAAAGAAAAAAATAATTAAAAATCCCTTCACAGGTGGTGAGCGCTGCATCTGTCCTTCCGGACCTTTATCGATTACACAGATCAACAGCCAGAAACAGAGAATCTCCGTTAGCTGTGGGAAACTTTACCCCGACAGTGTTCGTAAACCTGCAGCACGGGGAGGGACCGTGGATTGCACAATTCAATGGCCAGAAAGTTCAGAAACGCAGAACTTGGGTAAAACGAACTTTGCCCCGGTGGTGTGTTTTCCTTTCAAACCACTAGTCCCTGGCAGACACTGTTTTCCGATGCACTGGGCTGCCTGGCTATGAAAAAACAAACCACACTCTTGCAAGGCACTGCCGGCCTTTTCCCTGCAGTAGGCTGAACTGCAATTTGCGCCACACCACCATGTAATTACCTGCGAAATCACGAACTGAGAACTCTGCTGTTTTCTGTGTTTTGCCACTGGAATGCGTGACTTGCTGAGATTCCCACATTCTGTTGAAATTTCTAAGTACGTGTGTGTGCACTATTGCTGAGTTTCCATGTGTTTGTCTGGCCGCATGATTGCTCCGGTATGTGTGTGACCTGCCAGGGTACCTGTATGGTGGAAAGGCCCTCGGGCCTGCAGTGGTACTTACCTGTGGCCGTGCTTTTGTGGGTGTGCAGCGGGAACTTAAGAGTAGGTTAGGCTCTCGTAGGATGGAAAACACTCAAATGGCCTCACCACACCACTCTGGGAATGTGAAAAAGACAAAAATGTGGTGGGCGCATCTGGCCATGTTCTAACGGGAAGTTCATTCTCATTTTGCACATTTCGAGAGTGGTGTGGCGATGCCCAAAGTAGCAGGTAGGTAGGCAGAAGAAGACAAAAAGTTAGTACCTTTAGAGGCGGAAGGAATGTTTAGAGTCCATCAGGCTTAGGGACTAGGGGTACCGGTCTAGTAGTCTGAGTCTAGGACCTACAGTGAGGGATATATATCAGACTGATGATGTTTCCCTTCGAAACGGGGAACATATTCCGGTAGCTAGGGAGGCCGCGCGGCCTGGAAAGTCACCGCCCGAAGAGGCAGTGGTTCCGTATATCTTCAGGAAGAGCGAAGAGCTCTTCCTCATTTGCGGTGTGCAAGTTTGGCGACACGCTGCTTGGGCGAGCGCTGGAAGGAGCAGCGCTGAGGTGCGCTTGGCGCTTCGCACCTCAGCTATGGTGGAGAGGACCAAGGAGGAGCTTTGTGGGAGGTAGGAGGAGGAGGAAGAGGAAGACATCGGGCAAGGAGGAGGATGACGGGGAAAGCTTACCTGCTATGGTGGCCTGCATCTTCGTCTTGTTGGTTGGCGCTGCACCTTGAAGGGCCCAACTGGGGTTGCATCTTTAAGGAAGACTTCGGGGCAGTAGAGGGGTGTGCCGGCATAGTAGGAAGGGCGTAGTAGCTTTGCATTGTCCTCGAAATGTTGGAGCTTCACTCCGATAGTCCTCCATAGCCACCTGCTTGACATAATAGGAGGAAGGTGTAGGAGATGGCTATGGTGGACTGCTTGCCTGGCTGGCAGTAAGGAGGGGATTCAGACATTTGTTCTGGTTCATACTTTCATTGTTATTATTATTATTATTATTATTATTATTATTATTATTGTTATTGTTATTGTTATTGCTATTGTTATTGTTATTGTCACAAGTCGGACCCGCGCAGGGATGACAAACAACACATAAATCGAGAGATGATCCACTTTTTTACTTATTCCTGGACGGAACTGCAGGCAGATGCATATAATGCGGTCGGGTACGTTTAAGATAGTGGTAGTGTAAGTACGCCCTCAGTTGGTACACCCCTGAACCGATGAGAGTTGAGACTTGGTGATATTGGGCGATTGCGTAGATTCGTCGGACATTGTATTTTGACAGAGACAGGGGGGCCTATTTTTGGAGACTATCCATTTGCGGTGCTAATCGAGTTGGCGTGTCCTTCTTCTCCCCACTTTTCTCTCTTCCCACCTCCTTCGTCTGTGTATGCGTTGCTGACATGGCAGCATTCTTCTATGTTTGCGCTGCCATGTCCTCGCTGTGCGTATGAGATGATGGGTGTGTGCAGTCAGTCCGAGTCATGATGAGTCAGATCTCTGTATGTCAGTCTTCCGCTGCATTGTTATTGCTCTTTCTCTTTCGGTCAGTTCTTGGGTTCTGCATCATGCCTCACGGATGTTATGGGCATGCAATAGCGGGTAACCCATCTCCAGGTTCATTGTGACGGGGGATAGATTCTGGTAAATTGTCAATCTTTAATGAGGAATGCCTACTGTCTTCCACCGAACACAACACACCCTGATTGTGAATGCATACAAGCTAGTTTTCCGGTCCCGTACAGCCAAAATGAGGGTGCATTGTGTTTGGGGGAAGATGGTGGTAAGCTCGACTCATCAAAAAGGGCTGATAGACTGTTATTGCTTATTAGGTTTGAGGAAGTTTCATATGACTGTTAGTGCACAGCCTTGTGTATATGGCGGGTGGCACTGGGTGTGCTTTATTTGCTGCTAGACTGTGCTGGTCTTATATGACAGTATCCTTGCTGCTTGCTTTCAGGATTGGCAGAAGGGCATGGAAGGTACGGCAAAACGGGCTGGGGCAATATTGACTGGTTCAACATGGAGTAAAGAGAGGTTTGATGCTGATGCAGCTGCGGAATCTGGTGAGGACTGGAGCCGACAGCTCATGTCGCTCACAGCGGCACTCAAGAAAGGAGAAGAGGCTCTCAAGACAGCACATCAGCAGCTGTCCCAGAAGCTTCAAGTGGGTAGAGCTAGCACTGGCCTCAAGAATGAAATGCCGACCGCCACTCCTGGAGCTGCCTCAGCCTCACTGACAGCGCTATCCTCGGGTGGTATGCAGCAGACGGTGGCCTTGACAGAAGCCTTGATTCAGATGAAGGGAGACGTCTCTTCTGAAGCATCGGATTGGCTGTGGCAATGGAGGCCTCTGGGGTGGGGTACTAACTTTGAGTGGGTCGATGAGCCACCCGTTATTAAGGTCATTATGATATCCCTCACGTCCCCCCCCGTTGTCATTCTCCCTGGATGCAGCAGAAGATAAGTTTTTGGCGAGAAGTTGACTTTCTCTGCTTTCTAAGGGCCTCGCCATACCACTCTCGAAATGTGAAAAAGACAAAATTGTGGCGGGTGCATCTGGCCATGTTCTAGCAACAAGTTCATTGTCATTCTGCACATTTCGAGAGTGGTGTGGCTATGCCCTAAGTGTCTGGAATGTGATGAGATCTTGTTTGTTTGTTTGTTTGTTTGTTTGTTTGGCCATCAATTAGTTGGCCAATTGAACAGTTGGTCGGGTGGTTGGTCAGTTCGTCACTCAGGTGGTGGATTGGTGTTTGGTCAGTAGGGCGGTTGGTTGGGCAGTCTTTTGGGCTGCCGTGCATGTCTCTGAGAAGGCGGTGAGTCGCGTGGCTGGGCACCTACGTGGTCAAGTGGGCATGTGGACAGGTGGTTGTCCCGTCAGTTGATCGGCCAATTCGTTGACTGGTTGACCGATCCGTCAGTCCATGGTGGTCGTGTGTTCAATGAGTTTGTGAAACGGAGCTTGTGTCGATATCCGTGGTTCTTTAAAATTTGCTATGGCCGGGTGTAACACTGTGGCCCGTGCACCAAATTGTGAGCTGCTGGCGGTGCTTTTTTTTAGAGGGCGACGGCCTTGCGATATCATCATTGAACTGACCGGCCCTGGGTAATTCAGAATAATTGCAGTATTTTACTCATCCGCTTCTTGTGGAGTTCGAACTCCGCACCTGGTCTGTATTTCAATTTCAACAGTTCAGGTGTGTGCCAAGCTGAGCTAGGCCAGTTGGTAGGTGATGTTCCGATGACGGCCGGGAATTTTTCTTTTCATCAACAGCTTCCCAAAGGGGCCACTGGTTCTACCGGTTTGTCCAAAAGGGTCTGTGCGTTCTTTGTGATATGTGCACACACAGTGTTTTGCATAAGGGCCTGAGGGCCTACTGCACAAAAGAAAGTGGGCCTGAGGGCTGGGAGCCGTGTTCGGCCGGTCGGGCCTGAGGTCCGGCGGAGGGGTGCAGGCTCTGTCCCTCCAAACATTGGACCATATCTCGATTCGTGTGTGTCATATTCAATTAGTTTGTGAAAGGGATCTTGTCTCAATATCCGTGGTTCTTTGAAATTTCAAATTTGCTAATATGGACTGGGTGGGTAGCATTGTATCAAGGTTGGGGATGAAGGAGCGGAGAGATGCAAAATCATGCAAAGGCAGTAGATTCATTGAAGCGGCAAGCAGGAATGCCGAGGAAGAAGAGGGAGAAAAGCCACTGAACATATCGTACTCGTTGTTTATATTTCTAAGATATTTGATCATGTTTCCATGCTTTTGACTATTCCTCTTCACACAGTCTTGCCGTTCACAATTTTGTTGTTACCATTGATTTGTGCCTTGTGTGAATTCATGTGAGATTTGATCATGAGCTTCTGAAGTTGAGTTCACAAGTACTCTTTTCTCTCGCTGCTGACGACAGCCGGGCTGTGTATGGCGAGGAGAGCAGATGTGCCACTTCCAACTTCCAAGGCATGTATTTCGCTGTCTGTCAGTCATAAGTGGAAAAGGATTTCAGAAATTCCTATATCTTCGTACGGATCGCTAGGGTTGTAGTGACCTGTCTGATGGATTTCTGTGTCGAGTGGCAGATTTAGAAGCAAGGCTTTCTAAAAGGGATTTCTCAGTGCTTTCTCCTCTGAGTGTCACCGTGGTTGCTATGTCCATGCTCATGATGGATGGATGATTTCACTTCTCTTCTTTTTCCAATCAGGTTACGGCGCCAAAGAAAGCCCTTTGCACTCTGGATTGTAAATTTAAGGTGGGCCTCCCAGCAGACGATGTTTACAGAATCTTGGTGGACCCAGAAAATTGTCGTGTGTTCAAAAATATAAAGGTAAGTGACAAATAAATAAATGCAGGTGCGTGAAACGTGCCTACACGTTGACCTGTCCCTCCCTTTCCTTCCTCCCTCCCTTCTTCTCCCTCCCTTCCTTCTCTTTCCTTCCTCCCTCCCCCTCCCTCCCTCTCCCTCTCTCTTCCGCCCTCTCCCTCCCTCTC